CCAGTAGGCGTTGGTGGGTTTGGGCATCTCGTGGAACCAGGCCTCGACATCGGCACCCAGCAGGTTGAATACGCGCGCGAGCGGCGGGATGATGGTGCGCGTAATGTAGTAGAGCGCATTGATCTGCAGCTGCGGATTCTTCATAAATGCCTCGGGCGATACAGCCTGCTGGTTCAGCTTGGCCCGTGGCTCGCCCTGCGAGATGATGTACGGTACTCGTTCGCCGTACTGTGGCTCGGATCGCGGGTCCGCCAGCATGCGGCGCGACGACACGGCCGCTCCAGGAGGCGGAGCAACTTTTTCGCTGTACGACCCGAGCCTGACCTCCTTGGCAAAGATAAAGTCCTGCGGACTCACCCGGCCCTCGAGGATCTTGCGCCACTGACGCTGCAGGTAGCTTTTGACGCGCGACAGATCCCGCGTGCGGAAGAGCAGACGGATGCATGCCTCGAGCATTCGCTGGATCGCGGGATGGAAATCTCGCCGCACCGTCTCGATACCCTTGGCGTCGAATCCCGGCTCGCGCTCGTCCAGAGTCTCGTACTTGAACCCCACGTACCGCTTCTTGGCCAGCAGCACCGATGGCAAGTACACCTTTTCGAACTTGAGCTTCACCGGCCGCGGATTGAGGCTCGTCACCTTGTCCGCGATCAGGTGGCCGAGTCGAAATGCTTCTTCCTTGGTGCGACCGGGCAGGTAGACGAATAGCGAGTCCGTGTCGCCATACACTACTTGTGCACCCCACTCCTCGGTGCCATTGATCAGGTCCATCGCCTTTTCCAGCGTCTCCCGGCCGGTCTGAACGATGGCGTCGGCGATTTCCACGCACGGCATGCGGCCCGAAAAGCTCGCTGAGGTATAGCCGTAGGTGACGTTGGCGAGCAGCTTGAGCGACAGCTGCCTCGCGTTCTGGATGCGCTGGAACGACTTGTCTGTTTTCGTCCCCTTCATGGACGCCTTGACCATCACGCGCGTGTCGAGGATCTCGGACAGCATCTTGGCGAGCAACGACTTGCGCACGCGCGGCTTGACGAACAGCAGGCCGTTGCTCGAGATATTCACATCGTCTTGTAACAAACTGAGCAGTCCTTTGGGGGGCGCATAGTCGGTCACTCCCAGCTTGCTTGTCCCTTTGAACCCGGCGACGCGTCCGAGGCAGGTGGAGTAGCACAGATTGTAGGCGATCATGATGGACGGGTAGAGCGACTGAAAGTCGAGCACGATGAGCGGGCCCTTGTAGAAGGCCGACTGCGGCTCCATGATGAGCGGCAGACACTCGGCGGCATTCTGCTTGCCCACCTGCGCACGGCTGGGCGAGATGAGCACGAAGTTCTCCGGCTTGGCGATCCGCAACATGATGCTCTCGACCTTGAACTGGCTGCCGCGCGAGATGACCGAGAAGAAATCGATGCCGTAGATGCGGGCAAACTCGGCGGTACGTAGCACGAACTCGGACTCGGCGATGATCTCGAGCTCCAGCTCGACCATCTCGACGTAGTACAGCAGTGCCCTGCGCACAAGCTCGGCGCGACCAGACGTGTACCACTCGGTGAGCGTCTGATGCGAAAACTTGGGCACCCGCCGATGTAGCAGGTGGTAGCACACGTTTTCGAGCGTGTACAGGTTCAGCGTAAGCTCGCCCTTCATGAGCCGCCAGAGATTGAGCGTGTGGCGGCCAGTAATGCGCAGTGCCGACGACTGAGTGTACGCGTAGTTGTCCGACTTGCCGCCCGCACGACCCGTGTTGTGCACGATGGAGCGCCCGAACTGCGGAACGAGGTCAAACTCGAATTCCTTGCTCGCGCGTTCGATGATGTATCCCCACGATGATGAGTGGATCTCCCATCCGACGAGGATCTCGGGATCAAATGCACGCATCAGGTCGATCAGCGCGTTGAACAGATCCAGCTCGTCCTCGACTACCTCGACCGCCAGGTGCGATAGCCCGAGGCGCTCAGCACGAAACCCTCCGTTGGCTACCACAATCAGCCCTGTCCGAAGGTCCGGTCGACTGCCTGTATCCTGCAGATTCTCGTCCTCGTTCTGAAACGAGTAGATGACTGCTTGGATGGCGTCGAAAGCTGGGTCAGGAAACAGACCGGCGCGAGTGGTGGTGAGCACCTCGACGGCGAGCGTCGTCATGTGTTGCTTGTCGCGCACCACCAGCGTTGTCGTCTTGTGCTGCGAGATCTTGAAGCCGTAGTCATTCGACTGCGTGTTTCGCTCAATTTGGGAGAGCAGTCGGGCGCGTCGGTTCTTTGAGCGCTGCTTTTCTACGATCTTCTCCTTCTGCCGCCATGCGCGTGCCTCGAGCATGGTCGGTGGCGGCGGGCCGAACTGCCAGTACAGCCTTCGCGGGATGGCTTGTTTGGAAGCCTCGTCTGTCGAAGACTTGTGCCAATGCTCGAATGGCCGCAGGTATGGTAGCGTCCGTGACTGGAATTGGAACATGCGACCAGCATACTCGCGTGGCCGCGCGGGCAAGTCCTGCGGGTCGCTGAAGAAAGGCTCTGGGTGGAGTGTCCTTGCGACTGAAAACAGCGAGAAAGTCTCGACGACTGTGCCAGTCGAAGGGCTTGGCTCGTGAAAAGTGAAGAGGCGCTTTCGAGAGTTCGACTGAGGCGACGACCCTTTCGCGACCGCAAATGAGGAGACTTTCGTTTGCTGGTGAGAGGTCGTAGAGTCAGACGCCTGACTCGATGGCAGCGCGGTCCCTGGATCTGCGAAGCGCACACGAGAGCGTTCGCCTGCATGCGACGCAGTGGAGTTCATGTCATTGGTGTTGCTGGTCGATCTTTCCCGTTTTGCCAGCTTGAACCTGCGCACATCTTCGGCGAAAAGCTCGTTGGGCCCGGTGGCAGGATTCGAAGATTTTGGGGTCGCATCCGATTCCAGCAAATCCCCAATGCGACGCTTCTTGGGTGTTGACGATGGACTTCGTCCGAAGGTGCTGCCATTCGACGTACTGGTGACAGAGTTGGTACTGTCAGTTCTTTTCCAGGCGCGCGACGGGCTCTGATCACCTGCTTGCCCTTCGGCTGGGTCTGATGCGTCTATATCATTGGAGTCTTCATCATGGTCCGAGGGCGGGTCATGGATTCCGGCGACATCCTCCTTCTCGGCCTGCATCAGGCGGTGGTTGAACTCTTGACTTTTGAAGAGCTTGGTGTCAAGATCGTCACCCGTTTCCGCGTCATCTTGGCTGGATGTACTGTTCACGTCACGCTGGGTCTGGGAGAGCATGTGTTCAAGATCGTACAGCTTGAAGGAAGCTGAGGGGCCCGTGCGCTGAGAGTACGGATCAGCGGCGTGGATTTGATCTTGATAGGGATGAAAGACTTCGACTGCATCGAAGGTAGTCATGATGTACTGGTCCAAGCCAGATCGATCGGTAAAGTGATTTGGAACGCGCTCGCGTGGCAGCGTCTTCTGCTTCTCGTCGAGAAGGCGCTTCTCGAGCAGCAGACGCATGCGGTCCTCGGCGTCCCACGCTGGCGACTCTCCTTCGGCGTACGCACGCGGATCGCGCGCAGGATCTTCGGTCGGTATGGAGGCTGGAAGTCCTGCAGCGCTCCTGCGCGCTTTTTCACCCTCCCAGAGCCCCGATAAGCTCGGTACGAGGATGTTCTGATCCGGCGACACACGTAGCGGCTCGTCAAAGTCTTGGTGGAGAGGGCGCTGTCTGAGTCTGCGCCGATTGATGATCCATGGCGCGCTGATATCTGCCTCAATCTCGCAGTACGTCGCACGGTGCACGTCCTCGGACTGCAGGTGCGCGTAGGGAATGGTGTTGCGATTCCAGACCTTGCTTCGAGAGTCGGATGGTGAAGGTTCGTCCGAGGCGACCATGCTGCCTTCCGGAACGGGCAGCCGGAAGCGCACATCGTCGAGATCGAGGTAGTCGCAGCCAAAGATGTTGTAGTCGAGCATGAACTGGAGCTGGTAGCGAATGTGAATCTCGAATGGCTGAAAGATGGTCTTCATGACGCCGCCGGACTCGAGGATGGTTGCGATGCGGTAGCTGTGCGAAGGATCGACAAAGGAGATCTTGAGAAAGTACGAGTAGCCCACATGGTAGCCATAGAAGTTGATGCCTTTGCAGAGGTGGATGGCGGCGATGAATTGGTTTGCCTCCGGGTCGGCAGCGTTGCGGCGGAGGGAGGCGGCCATGGCTGCGTTGAGCTCTCTGCCCAGGCGGTGAATATATCTGAGCACATCGTCTGGATCCAGCGATCCCTTGTATTGGATGTAGCAGTACGGAAAGACGTTGTGTACGTGGATGCAAACTCGCTGGCCCGCCGGCGTGGCACCAAAGATGCGCAGGATGGGGACCTTGCGTAGCAGCTGCCCCTCGGCGTTGAAGGCGCATTGCGTGCGGTCGAGCGGGCCAGGCAATGTGAGGACGTGGTCTATGTTGATGAGGCGTACACGGAAAAAGGGGTCGGTTGAGTGGTTCGGAGCATGCTCCGTACGCTGAGGAGCCGGCCGAGCCTGATCCCCGCTCTGGCGAGCGCCATCACTGTCCATAGCGGTCGGAATATTGGCCCGACGCTCGATGATGGAAGCTGTGTCCTCATGGGAACAGATGGTGGTCCAGCTCTACTACCGCGCACATGACGTATAAGAGTGAGCCGCGACGACGTGAGGGTCGTGCTGAAGTGTTGCGGGATGGTGGGTTGGATGCAAGCCTATCCCGCAAAGCACGGCACCATTCGTCAGGGTCCACAAGACTCAGCCGCTCGCATGAGGTGGAGGCGGATCCGCTTTTTTCGAGGCTGTTAGACCCACATCGCGGCGCGTGTTGGTCTTTTACGCGACGGTGTTGACTGAGTCAGGGTTCGCGCCTCTCCGCTTCTTCGAGCCGCACCCGCAGGTGGGACGCTTCATACTAGTCCGTGTCGGTTAGGCGCTCGACTCAGCCAACGCAACTCCCCACGAAGGCCATTTTCATCCGCCTACGAGAGTCTGCGCATCCTTCCGCATGCCGAGAAGCACCGAACATGGCCGAGGCCCGTACTGATCCGCAGGAGGGGGGCTCGGTCATCCGTGCCATCCCGACCTCCGACGTGCACAGGATCACAAGTGGCCAGGTGGTCCTGGACTTGCAGACGGCTGTCAAGGAGCTCATCGAGAACGCACTCGACGCCTCGGCATCCAACATTGCCATCAACTTCCGCGACTATGGCGCAGACTCGTTTGAGGTCATCGACAATGGCTTCGGCATCGACCCGTCCAACTACGCCTCGGTCGCGCTCAAGCACTACACGAGCAAGCTGGCATCATTCTCGGACCTTGCACACGTGCGCACGTTCGGCTTCCGAGGAGAGGCGCTCTCTTCGCTCTGCGCACTGGCTAGCGTCACCATTCATACCGCCACTTCACAGCAGGCGCCCATGGGCACGGTGCTCCGCCTCGACCGATCCGGCTGCGTGGCAGACGACTCGGGTCGCGCAGCCAGGCAGAGAGGAACCACAATCACCATCGAAGGCCTCTTCAAGTCGCTCCCTGTTCGACGTAAGGAATTCGAAAAGAATCTCAAGAGAGAGTACGCCAAGGCGCAGAACCTATTGCAGGCGTATGCCCTCATAACCAAAGGCGTCCGTTGGACCACTACCAACCAGCCCTGGGGAGGACGCAAGACTCCGCAATTCAGCGTCAACTCGTCCAGCGCCGACAACTACCTCGCTGCCAACGTGTCTGCGCTCTTTGGAGCCAAGGTGGCTCCGACACTGATGCCGCTCAGCCTCGAGCTTACCTTCTCCACTGCCCGCAAAGGCCTCGCCGCCGTGCAGAAACGAGGTGTGCAGGACGACGATGAAGGCGACGAGGAAGAGACCGCGGACGCTGCGTCAACCGTTACTGTCGTGGGCCTCATCAGCAAGCCCGTGTACGGCTCAGGCCGCACCTCGTCTGACCGCCAGTTCTTCTACATCAACGGACGACCGTGGGAGGCAGGTCGGGTGAGCCGCGCGTTCAACGAGGTGTACAAGTCGTTCAACTCGAACCACTTCCCCTTCATCATCGCGGACTTCCGACTTCCGACCGACTCGTACGACGTCAACGTCAGTCCGGACAAGCGCACCATCTTCTTGCACGAGGAGAGCCGGCTTATCGAGAAGGTGAAACAGGCGCTCGAGGAGCTCTTTGCGCCCAGCAGAGCCACATTCCTCGTCAACGGAGCCAGTCATTCCCTGCGCAGCGGCGGAAGCAGTGTTGCGGTACAGGCGAAACTCGCACAGTACGCCAGGAGCGGCGCGGCAGCTTCCACGCAGGAGATGGAGAGGGAGATGAGCGAGGAAGAGCAAGATGAACTCTTGCCGTCTCAAAGGTCGATTGCTACGGTGCAAGATCTCGAGTATCGCGAAGACGTTGCAATCGCCTCCGAATCGGCTTCTCCGAACGAGGTTCCCGTGGCCGAGGAGGCGGAGGACAGCGAGACCGAGGCTCCTCTGCCGCACGCTCCGGAAGTTTACGCACCTCCCTCCGTGGGAGAAAAGCGCAAGGAGCCGACAACGACAGAGCTGCCGACGAAAAGACGGCGCAGCAGCCAGTCGTCGCCGGAACCAGAGACAGAAGAGGCCTCGCCTGCATTGGACTCGCCGCCTAGGTCTAGCAAGGGCATTCGGAGGAACCTGCGCGATTTCGCGCTTCCCGGCAGCCAGGTCGATGCGCTCTCACCTGTTTCCAGTGCAGCCGAGTCACACAGCGAGCAAGGCGAGACCGAAGTCATGGAGGAAGACGATCTGACAGTGGGTGCGCTCCATGAGGAGGCGAGTGATGTTCCGTCGCCGGAACAATCGGACGCCTTTGACTCGCCACCCAGCCAACCTGTTCTCGCTGAAGCCCGCGCAAAAACCGACGAGATGGAGGGTGGAGAGACCGTTTCTCTTGACCTGGCCATTCTGAGGAATCGTACGCGCCAATGGCGCGAGCACAAGGCAGCATCGACTCTGCCAGCTCGTACAACGACACTGTCGGGAGAAGAGCAGCTGCTGCAAGGGGCCGGAGTCGAGAACGCAGACGAGGAGCAGGTGGAGCGCACGCTCTCGCGCGTGATCCACAAGCAAGACTTTGCGTCGATGGACGTGATTGGCCAGTTCAACCTCGGCTTTATCATTGCACGTCGACGCACAGAACCCTCTGGCAGCGCAGACGAGATGGACGACCTCTTCATCGTGGACCAGCACGCTTCGGACGAAAAGTACAACTTCGAGACGCTGCAGCTGACGACGCAGATCCGGTCGCAGAAACTCATTTGCCCGCGCGCGCTCGAGCTCTCGGCATCCGACGAGCTCGTGGCCATCGAGCATCAATCCACGCTTCTCGCAAACGGGTTCGAGATCGCTGTCTCCGAATCAGGGCTACCCGGGACAAGGGTCAAGCTCGTCGCACAGCCAATTAGCAAGACGACCGTCTTCGGAGTCAAGGATTTGGAAGAACTGCTTTATCTGCTACGAGACATGTCTGCGGGGACGGAGGCTACGCGAGCGGTAAGGTGCAGTAAGGCAAGGAGCATGTTCGCCAGCAGAGCATGTAGGAAGTCGGTTATGATCGGAACCGCGCTCAATAAGGCACGCATGGGCTCGATCCTCGCCAATATGGGCACAATCGAGCAGCCCTGGAACTGTCCACATGGCAGACCGACGATGCGACACTTGGCATGCCTCCAAACACTCGCAGACATGAACCCCCAAGGCTGCACGGACGACGAGCCCGACTGGACCGAGATCCAGCGATGCTTCGAATAAAGACATCACATTGCAATAGACGCTTGCCTGACGCAGCGGCATGCTCGTTTGAACTGGGTATGGGGTGGATGCGCTGCGAGTTGCGGGATCGGTAACACTCTATACTGCGAGGCAGGGGGGTATGCGGCAAGACTCATGGGGTATGTGAGCTCAGAGGTCTTCGCCGTCTTCGGCGAGGTCGAGGCCCTGGGTGCCGTGCGGGAGGTCATCCATCGGCATAAGACCGGCACCTTTGGCGTAAGAGAGGCTGTCGATGCGGATGTTGAGCTGCTGTGCGCGTTTGCGCAGCGCATCCCGCGTCCTCCAGAGCTGTCGAAGCTGGTTCAGAAGCTGCTTCTTGCGGCTCGCTGCATTCACGTCCTCGACCACGACAAAGTCGTCATCGTCCTCCGACTCGACATCCTCCGCCTGGGTTGGCGGCCGACGTGGTTGCGAGGTAAACTTGGCGAGCTCCTTCTCGATCTTGTCTTGCTCCTCGTCGAGGTACTGGAGCAGGTCGTAGATCTCGCGTCGGTAGTCGGGCATTGACTTGCGCGGATCCAACACTTGCTCATCCGAGATCGAACCCGTGCTGAGGACAGCATTGCGTGGTAAGGTGAGCGTCATCGTTGTCGTAGTCGCCGAAGTTGCCGGATCGGCTTTTGATGGGGATGATGGCGGCGGTTGGCAAAGCGCAGAATGGCAAGATGCTTGCGGAGAAGGCTGGGCTGGCGGATCGTGCCGTGCTCGTCCGATGCAGTTCGCAGCTGGGATCGTGGCTGATACAGAGGCACGGCTGCAGTCGGGTCGGGTGAGCAGCGGCTCAGCTTGGTTGCTGCAGAGTGCTGTTCCGTTTACGTGCTGGTGCAGGTGTCAAAAGCGCCCAGGAGCGCCGCCGCTCTCGATTTCACGAGCCAAAACAAGGCGTAGCGTAGACTGCGCGGCTGACTGAACAAATTCCAGACCTCCGCCGGACCCTGTCGCTTCTAAGCGTGTTATCACCAGGTGCCAGATAAGGCGCGCTCGGGGCGTTTTTTGTTTGCTTCGCGACGTAACATGTTGATTTTTTTCTCGCAGCTGCTCCTCCCTTCTTCGGCCTCCGACTTGTACATTGGCTGTAGATGGCCCGTCCATCGGCATGCTCCTACCCTAGATACGCTTTCGTATAAAGCATGATTTGGGTACCCGCTCCGTGCTCCGCGGCAAGAGCGGAGGTGGCTGCCAGCAACAAAGCTTGGCAGCGACGAGATGGTCTGATTTTGGCCTCGAGGCGCAGGATTGGACGCGGTCGGAATTGCAGAAATCGGGCGATGGGTTGTCTGTGGACGCGAAGAATGCCGACAAGTGGGCCGATTCGCTGCCAAAACCGAGAGCAACACACGCACTCTCAAGCTTCTTTCTTCTTGCGCATTGCCTCCATAGTCTGCCTCTGTCAACGATCAACTGTCCTTACTCGTCTTTTGCCTGCCATCGTACATCGCTACTATCATCCTAGACCTACTCTCTGCATCTGGATCTACTCGTCACCATGGCTACCCACCGACCTCGATCCAACAAGCCTGCAACCAACGGCGCCTCTGCTTCGTCCAAGCGCTCATGGGTGCTGCTCTCGGCGCTGCTGGTCGGCTTCTGCGCTATCGTGGCCGCTCTCGACTCGATCCGCTCCAGCTTCTACATCTTCGACCACAGGGAGGTCTACAAAATCGCATCCGGTGCCGTCGCCAAGCACCCTGGCAACGCTACGGCCATCTTTGACGACATTCTCGACAACCTGCGCGCCGACCCCAAGACCGCGCCGTACATCAACAAGAACCACTTTAGCATCGAGTCCGAGTGGATGTTCAACAACGCTGGTGGCGCCATGGGCAGCATGTACATCATCCACGCCTCCATCACCGAGTACCTCATCTTCTTCGGCACTCCCGTCGGGACCGAAGGCCACACCGGTCGTCACACTGTAAGTCCAACACCTTCCACCGACTGACTGCTTTCTACGATTGCTGATATGCTTGTTGTTCCGTTAAAATGCAGGCGGACGACTACTTCAACATCCTCACGGGCAACCAGTACGCGTTCCCCGCGGGCGCGCTCAAGGCGGAGCACTATCCTGCCGGCTCGGTGCACCACCTGCGCCGCGGCACGGTCAAGCAGTACATGATGCCCGAGGACGGATGCTGGGCCCTCGAGCTCGCTCAGGGCTGGATCCCACCCATGCTGCCCTTCGGTCTGGCCGATGTACTCAGCTCGACTCTCGACCTGCCCACGTTCGGCATCACCGTCTGGATCACCGCGCGCGAGATGATCGGAAACCTCCTCATCGGCAAGTTCTAACCGCAGATCACAGCTTCCTGCTCCGTCTCAGCACCCATCATCAAAATGTACTTCCAACCAACAAACCATGCAGTGGAATCAATGTACACAATGTTCACTCACGCCGACATGCACTGCTCTAGAGCGGGATGGTGGAGAGCGACTTGCCGTCCCACGGCTGGCCCCTGGTGTCCAGAGCTCGCTTGCCGTGCTTTTCGGTCCATGCATTGATGCCGCCGGTGAGGATGAGCACCTGCTGCTCGACGCGCGTCTGTGCCTGTTCCTGCGTCGCACCAGCCGCGGTATGCATCTTGAAGAAGCTGTCCGCTACCCAGCCCGCCGCGCGTGTTCCCCGACCTTTGCTCGAGTTGCAGTGGAAGACCAACTTGGGCACTGTCGCCAGCATCTGCACGAGCGTCGGCAGTGTCGCTGGCAGAGAGTGAGCTGGAAGGTTGATGGCCCCCGGCAGGATGTACTGCAAAGTCATCATCATTCACCACAACGATAGCTGTCAGCGATGTGTCTAGGTGCACAAAGCGAGCCCGGACTGGGTACACTTACCTCGCAGTCAGAACGGCGCACGTCGACAACAACAAAGTCGCGCCCAGGCGTCTTGGTCTCGTACCAGGCGGTGAGATCGTCGACGCTGACGGCGCCCGGCTTGACAGCGGGCTCGCCGTACACCTTCCACCACTCGCTCTGGTTGATGGGGTGTTCTTCTGCTTGCGACATGGTGATGGATGGCAGTTAAAGGGTCGGAAGCATCAACGGGTACGGCGCATGTCGAGAACCTCGCCTTTTGTGGAGCACAATTTCAAATTGGCCGGGCTGGTCTTGCATCGGGCTCGACGCGTGATTCCCGATGTGGATCGTGTTGGATTCGGACGTACCGGCTGAGACGTCGGACGCCTGAGCCGGTGGTGGCTCGGACCAACGCTTGCGGGGTAAAAAAACCCCTCCCCGCAGCCTGGGGTGTCTTCCAGCAGACGAAAGTCCAACACCAACACTTCCTCCTTTCATCCTTCATACACACCCGTTCAGAATGCTGACCCTCCGACCTGCGCTTTCCAACGCGAGCGTGGCAGCTACGGCGCTGCGACGTTCGGCGTTTTGCCAACGAAGTGTGCTTCGCAGCTACTCGACGGCGACGGACCCTTCGCAGCTGGCGACGCTCTCACCTCTGTCGGCCATTGCCCAGTCTGAGCTCGGTTCGAGCTCGCCGTACGATGAGCACATTTCTGTGCTCACGCTGAACCGGGCACCTGCAAAGAACGCCATCTCGCGTGCGCTGCTCGCCGAGATGGATCAGCACATCAGCTCGCTTCTCACCAACCCCACGTCGCGCGCGCTCTTGATACGCTCTTCGGTACCCGGCACGTTCTGTGCCGGCGCCGACCTCAAGGAGCGCAAGGGAATGTCGAAGCCGGAGGTCGACGCTTTTCTGCTTGGCCTGCGCAAGGTGTTCACCAACGTGTCGCGGCTGCCCATGCCCACCATTGCGTGTCTCGACGGCCTGGCCATGGGCGGTGGTCTCGAACTGGCGCTCACGTGCGACCTGCGCATCGCTGGCCCCGCAGCAACCAAGCTGGGCCTGACAGAGACCAAGCTCGGCATCATTCCCGGAGCCGGTGGTACCAGCAGAATGACGAGGCTCGTGGGACCAGCACGTGCCAAGGAGCTCATCTTTAGCGCCAAGCTCGTGGACGCCGTCGAGGCCAGTCGTATCGGGTTCGTCGACATTGTGGCTCAGGAGGGCAACGGCACCGCAGCATTCAGCAAGGGTGTCCAGCTCGCCCGATCGTTTGCAAAGAATGGTAAGTTCAATCGTCGCATCGATGAGAGCAGGGAGGCCCGGAATAGCGGAACCAACATGGTTGTCTTGTCCACGAGTTCCGGATTCCAGCGGAACATAGGAGGGATGGTCACCGCATCAGGCTGCGCCGGATGATCAGCTGCTCCGTGCCGAGGGCTGAATTGGCCAGGCGTTGTTTGGCGTCGGACCTCGCCAAAGGCACATGCTTTGGATGCGGTATAAACAGATGCTCATCAGCAGCATGTTGTTCCCGTTGCGGAAGCACGAGGTGCGATCAGCCCACAACGTACATCCGGCTTTAGCACAACAAGTTTGGTGGTTTTGTCAAACTCCGCCGTTTGGCTTCCGCTTGCGGATGTTTGTCAAGGACGCGGTCGTGTGGATCTAACACTGACGCCTTTTTTCGACAATTTGCGCTCACTCAGGACCCTTGGCGGTACGAGCGGCTAAGCTGGCCATCGACAAGGGCGAGCAGATGGACCCTGAAACTGCTCTCGACTTTGAGCGTCAATGCTACGAGACGATTCTGGGCACCAAGGACCGACTCGAGGGCCTCAAGGCGTTTGCCGAAAAGCGCGAGCCCGTGTACCGCGGCGAGTAGAGATAAGGCTGGCCCGAGGGTGCCTGCAGATGTCTCGGGACACGGATATCACAGCTGCGATCGCGCATGCAAATGCAAAGGCTGGGCACAACCGCTCATTAGTTTGCAGCTTCATCCTGAAGGAGAGTGTGCCAAGGCGGCTAGCATGTGGGGTGTAGGGCGCGTAGAGACTGGTCGAGTTGGTGGCAGGCGCCGCTTTGGGAAGGCAACGAGGTGCCAAACGCAGACGCGGCTAGGCGGGCTTCCAACTTTCGAAAACCGCTCAATTGGCAGCAGCGCGTGAGGATTTGCAGCGTGGCTGGCGTCGCGCAGGTTCCAGAATTTAGGCTCAGCCGGAAGCCACGGGTGGAGAGTGGAGGCAGGCGGCGTTCGACGAGGCCTCGCATCTCACTCGCGGCCAGTCTAGGTGATTGAGAGGGATGTGGTGAAACCTGTCTCAGGCGCTTCCGCCCCGCTCGCCGCCTCGCCTTTGAGCCTCTCTCTCTCTCTCTCTCCACCATACACATAGACCCATGGCGATCCGACGGCGTCTGAGCACGACGACACAATCTGCTTTGCTTGGCAGACTGGACAGAAGCGATCGTTGCGAACGACGTTCTCAGGCACCAGCCACGCTCGGTTGCGACTGCAATCGCCATCGAGACACGGCGCGATACCGTTGCGCCGAGACAGCCGGTTTGGTTCCGTGTACCGCCCGAGCCACGATACGAGGATTGCCAACTTGCGCTGATTGCTGCCGTGTCGATCTGTCAGTCGGACGTCGAAGCCTGGGCGGGCTTGGCTGGTGAGCGCTGCATAAGTGAAAAGGGCCAAAAGAGCTGGAATTGCATTCTGCGGGAGCGGACTGGCGTGTGGCCGACAATGAGAGTCGGGGCTGGCGCCAGGCCGCGAACCTGTTTCACATTCCGAGCCAAGGCAGCAGGGAAGGCAGTGTGCCGATGTGTGGGGCGTGGGCGCGCGTTCTCGCATTTCTTGTGAGGCTTTTGGTGGTGGCCCAACCAAAATTTCTACACGGGTGCAGCTGCCGCGCTCTGCAGCTGCACGTTTCCGGCTCTTGTTTCCGCACGGCCCGTCCGAAGCGTGATTCCGACTGTGCAGGTCGCGTGCCCTTTCTTTTTTTAAGCGACTGCTGGCTGCCTCCCTCCACCTGTGGGCCGCATCTTTCGGGCCAGAGCGAGACTGCACTCAGCAAGTTGCCGTCGGTGCATTCCGAACGCGTGCTCATTCCGTGAAAGCGACAATGACGAAGCAATTGGGCAGTCGGACAAGGTGATTGAACGGGACCTTTGGCGTTTTGGAAAGCATTGAAGCTGTCGGAAGAGGCCTGACAGATGCCAGGCGCGCACGCAAGGGCTTGTGCGCTCGTAGGCGACTGCAACCGCATCGGTGCAAGGGCAGGGGAGGGCGACGCAATGAGCTGCACTGTCGATGATCATCGACTCTTCTGACAGGCGATCGCCCTCCGAATGCACGCCGTCGCCGCTCCTTGTCTCGAACCTCGGCCTCTGGCATTGCTGCCCGCCGCTCGTGCGTCGTGCGTGCCTTGCCCTGCCTCGCCTGCCTCGCCTGCCTCAGCGACTGCCCGTGGCGCCTGGTCCAGACCTAAGCGCCGCCGCCTCGTCTCGACTCCTCCTCCCTCAACCTCCATCTCCATCTCCTCGGCCCAACCCCAAAACACGCAAGCCTCCCAAGCCGCCGTCTCTCCACCTCGCTACCCTAAACCTCGCCTGCGCAGCTGGACGCCGTTCCTGCACTTGGTTCTCCGCCTCGCCTAAGCATTGCGCCCGCCCCTCGTGCAGGTGCTCCTCTTTTCTTCCGTTTCCGCTTCTTCGTCGTTGAGATTCGTCCCCAAACAAAGCCGTGCTGGCTAGCCGCCCTGTCCGCTTGGCCTGTTTCGGAACCCTCCCCGCCCCAGCCCAGACCCCCATTCCTTGTGGAACGCTGCGCCGATTGCCTCGCCGTCGTCCGTGCATACACACACACACACACACACACACACA